AAAATTTAAGAAAAAAAAAAAATTTTAAAACCAACAAAAAAAAAGTGTTAACGGAAAAAAATAAAATAGAATAATCGAATAAACAAATAAATATTTTTAAAAACTTTTTATTTTTACAAAAAAAATTTATTATAATTTAATCATTTCACATTTTTCCAATTCCTAATGTAAAATACAAAGATAAAGAAAAAAGGAATATAAAAAGATATGCCTGCTTGGTTTTACGTCATTTTTCACAAAATATAGACATTTTTTAATTCAGTTTCTTGTCATGTATTTTATTAATGTGTACAGGATTAATAGTTATATACATTGATAAGTTTATGTAGTTGAATAAATTATCATGTTAAATGAAGGAATATAATACACCCTTTTTAAAGTTTCCCTTTTCGAGTGTATAATACATATATATATATATTATTTTTTTTTTGTGTCCAAATTAGGCAAATTAACAGTTACCCATTTTTTTTGTTCAATTTAATTCTCTAATTTTTCAAAAATGGTTAATAATAAGAATAAGTACTCCAGGGGATGCCATGGATACAGCAGTGGAAGTGTGGGAAGTTTAAATAAAGACAACTCCTTTTTGAAAGTTTTTGTCTTTACTTTAGTAATATTGGCAATCCAATGCTATAACGAAAGTGTAAGTGTGGAGTAAAGGAAATTAGTTATTATACGAGAAATGTGCTTGTATGGGCTGCGTTGCTCTTTTATATGACCTTTGTGCGTTGTTCACGGAGCATGAAAAGGTTTTATGATTTTATAAGGGAGGGTCTTGTTGTACGCCTTTTTTTATGCCTTTTTATATACCTCTTCTTATGCCTTGTTTTGTGCCTCTTTTTATGCCTTTTTTTTATGCCTTGTTTTATGCCTTGTTTTATGCCTTGTTTTATGCCTTGTTTTATGCCTTGTTGTACGCCTTGGTTTATGCCTTTTTATATACCTCTTTTTATGCCTTGTTTTGTGCTGTATTTATTTATTTATTATTATTTTATTTATTTTTTTTTTGTGCATTTCTGTTCGCAGTTTTCCGTTTCTGTGCACAAGAGCTCAGGAAATGGAGCCAAGGTGTGTAGCAGACTGTTATTTGGTAATTTTGGTGATAGTATTGAACACTTCTCCTTAGCGAATGAGAAGGACTCTTCAGACACGAACATAGGATATAGTAAGTGGAGGAAGAAAACGTAACAAAAGTGAAAAATAAGAGGCTGCCAGTGGTGTATATCTGCTTGTATTTCCTTCTCTTGTTATTGTTCCTGTTTCTCATGCTGCCCCCAATTTTTAATACATAGAATATATCCTCATTGTAGATGAGAACGACAATGAAATAAACGATTTTGGGAGTGCTGGAAACCTCTCCTTGTGCAGTACCATTGATGGTGATATGAACGAATCCAAATCAGAATGTATGCCTGCATTAAAGGAAAAAATATTCCAAGAAACGATTTACGGACCCAGTGTAGTGGGGGAGAGCACTGTGGAAGATACTGAATATGAAGATAATTTGATGAAAGAGTTTAGAAATAAAAAGTATAAAGAAAAATTGCACAAGAGAGCGTTTAGATTCCTCAAGAAACACCATTACATTATTCCAGGTGCTATGTCTGCTATTGCCCTATTGGTACAGAATACATATGTGGCAGTAGGAGTGTTAATAGTATATGCAGTGTTATTGATACTCCATTACCTACACAAAAAATTAAAATACAAAAGTGAGAACAAGTTTATCTGAAAAAGGGGGACTAGAAACTTTAGAAGAATTTGTTTTTGGACTGCTTTTTGGTCAAAGAGGAAATATTTTTGCCCTACACATTTGGGGTGTATATACAGAAGAAAAATAAAACAGTTTTAATATTTTTTTTTTTAATTAAATTTTTTTTTTTTTACGTGATAGAAGTATAACACAAATTTTGATTTGTTATATATAAGACACTTTCAGTTATTGGAAGTGGCAGTTTTTTTTAGAATTTTTTTCTGTTATTATTATTTTATTTTTTTTTTTTTTGATATTTTTGATATTTTTGGTATAATTTGCACACATATTTTATACATAAATGCAAAGGAGGTGCATTTTTTTTTTTTTTTTGTTCAAGAACAAAATTGCGTAATTTTGTTTTTTCAAAAAAATTTACTTGCACATTTCTTGTTGCCCTATTTTTTCGATACTGCCTAATATATATATATATATATATATATATATATATAAATGGTTAACATAAGCATATTATACTTTTTTTTTTTTTTTTTTTTTTCGTTTCACATTGACCTGATTTGAGTTTGATTTGATTTGATTTTGATTTTGATTTCATTTTGATTTGATTTGATTTTGAGTTTGAGTTTGACCTGATTTGATTTATTTTTCTTTATTCACATTTATTTTGAATTAAGACTGAACAATGGTTTTAATAAAATATAGAACAGAAAAATGGATGCTCACCTTTTAGACATATAGATCTGTATTTTTTTTATTAACACACATTTTGTAGAATATGAAAAATAGGGGCGTAAGTGTGTGGTGGTCACCACCGGATTGTCCATTCATATACGACAACAGTACCATTTTTAAAGAATTATTTTATGTTGGAACTTTGGTCATTGTAATTTTAAAATGATCAGAGGGAATGAATTGACGATATTTTTTTTTTTTTTTTTTTATTTTGATGTTTAGAAGGAGAGCTTTGAATTAAATGGCCATAAACCAAATGGAACGTTCATTTTTTGAATGGGGCACAATGTGAACCTATGGGGAGCGGCAAAGAAAACTGTACTGTCTAAAATTTTTGTTTATTTTTAAATATTACTATTTGGAAATTCATACAAAACAAAAAAAAATTAGGTGTGCAGTGCAGTGTGCCGGAATAATATTTTAATCAAAATGGAATTAAAAAAAAAGACAAAAAAACACGTGTAGATATACACCTGGAAAGTGCCGTGAATTATTTAAATGTATGATGATGAACATATTCCCACAATGGAACGGAATAATCGTGCGTTTGTAAAGGCATATTAGCATAATTTTCTTTTACGGTAGGAGGGGCATTTTTACTTACCTTTTTATATAATGTTATTTTAAAAAAAAGGACAGGTAATTTTTAGGAACAATACAATAAGGGTGTGTAACAACAACGAATGTTGTATTGGACAGTGATTCGAAGGTGTAAAATGCCTCATGCGAGATTTTGTGGAATGCTTTATTAAGTATGGTTTGTTGTGGACTATATTGCCTATATATACGTGTGGCCTTTCGCAGGGCAGCAAATACATGCATATTGGCATTTTCCCATGGGGACATACATGTTTCCGTTTCATTCACACAACTTTTCCTCACTTGGTCAAATTTGAAAAGAACACACTGTGAAAAATGAAACGCGGCATATATATAAATCAAGGTGTAGAACAACCACTTTTATATAACAGAGTAGTGACTTTTTTAATTCATAAAATTGTGCACCTACTTTTTTGTGGAGTTAGCCATTTGTTGAAAATACAAAAAAGGTAGTTTCATAAAAAAATGCACAGATAATTTTTTTTTCGAATTTTTATCAACTATAAAATGATAAAATAAAATGGTGATGGCTCACATGTTGAGCAAATTTTTTATAATTTTATATAAATTTCTAGTGAAAAAATTCGTTTTATTTTAAAAGTACTCATTACGAATTATCCTTTTTGTGTTGTAATATGTCAAGTGCACGCCAGATGAAGGCGATTGTAAAATAAGAGCGATAGTTTATTATTATATAATATTTTTATTTTTTTTGGACGAATACGGATGTGCACATATATATATATATATGTATAAAAATTTGTATCGTGACGACCCTTCATGATGTAACAACAAAATGAGCAAAGCGCGCCTTTTGGGGGAATTACTAAAAATTGAAACAATTTGGGTGCAAAATTTTTTTTTTTTTATCATTCAGCTTTAGGAAGAGGCAAATTACATTATCATTTTGCTTCATACACTAACTAAATTAAAGGGTGTGACATAATTGTAAATATAAATTTTTATTATGCGTTTTTTGTTTTTTTTTTTTTTTGGTGCCATATTTTTATTAGTGAGAACAGTATTTTGATATACAAAATTTTTTGCATGCGTGAATTTTTTTCAAATTTGAACTTTCTTTTTTTTATTTCCACCTAAAATTTCCCCACTACATTTATACATTTGCGTGAACATTGAAAAAAAAAAGATTTATGGAAAAAAAAAAAAAAAAAATGGGAAAACATGGGTAATTAGTGTATGATTTCTTCTATGGACGTAAAATGAAAAAAGGACACAATTTACAAATATGAGGCGATTTATAAATATACATCATTTTGGTTTATTCCTTTTTGCTATCAAGTGATATATTTTAGGAAAATATTTATACCATTTATATAAATTATAGCACAAAATATTTTATTATTTATTTCTTTTTTTTTTAATTAAAAAAACTCATGAATATATTATTTTTGAACCCTTCTTTTCTCTCTGCTGAAATTACCCTTACCCATTTCCCTGTTACAACGCTGTTTCGGGAAAAAATAACAATTACAAATCGCGCTCTCTCTCTCCCTTTTTTTTTTTTTTTTTATTCATGGAAACGATTTCATGTTAACAAATTTCTTTTCAATTTTTTTTTAACGTGTATTTAAAAAAAAATATAAAAAAGTAGCAATTTTTATATAAAGAAAATATTTTTTTCCCCATAATAAAAGAAAATATCACTTTTGTTAAAAGATATTATCCTCTGAAGCCATAAAAGGTACGTGTACTACGTAATTTTACTAGTTTAATATTTATGTGCATTATTATTACAAATGCGCAAAGCACATTTTTTTTCGAATATATTATAAAATGTATATGTATAAATATGTATTTTAGAGATAATAAAGCCTAGTCAAGCTTGAATTAATTTTTACTTGGCAGAACATACTTGTTTATTATACAGCCGTTGTAATACATATGGGTAATTTCTTTATTTCTTACAGTTTTTAGTTACCCGTGACATATTTAAGTAAGCTGTTAGGAGTTTATTTTATTAAGAGGGAGAAAAGACGATTCATTTATTTCAAATGCTTCTGCAACAATTTAGTAATCCCATGAGGAAACAGATCAATTAATTTGAAGATATACAAAACGAGCATATATATATGTATATTTTGTATAAAGCAACATATATGCACCTTATAGCCCCCTGTTTGTATGGTTTAAAAACATATCCCCCAAACTCTTTTTATTAGACTCATTAAAATTTTTTTAGCCACATATAACATTTTAACATTGTACAAAAATGAATACCTTTAACCACATGATCAAGATTGCACTTTTTACCCTCTTCATTGTAAGAAACGAAATACATGTTAATGTGCCATTACACCTTTGCTCATATATGGAAGCATATTTTTAAGGCGAGAGTGATACAAAAAACTGTCTTCTCCAGGGTTTTGTTCATGAGGTTGATTTTTTTTTTTTTTTTACCATTTAGCAGTGTTTAGCTAATAAAACAGCTGTGCACATTTGGAGACAACAAAATATTCATTTTGAGTATGGCTTTATTTATTATTTATTTTATTTTTTTTTTTTTTTTCGTTTTTTCCCCCTTTTTTAGTACACCTCGGCCAGCAACGGAAATAACGAAAATGGCTTTGGAAAAGCTGTAGGCACAAGGAATATAAGGTGTCTTTCTGAGAGAAGCAGAGAATTTGGAAGACCAGATTTGAGGCCGCAAAGTGAACCAGGCCAATATGTCAACGGGGATAACCCAAATGAACAGAAAAATAGAAACGGAGACGGCTTCGGTCCTGAAAGTGACCAATGGAATTACGGCTACTATGGTCCTCATGGCTCTGACCCACAAATGCACGAAAGAGTTTACAGGAACACTGATGCCTCAGACTATTACACCAACGGCTACAGCGTTAGATACGTATCCCCAGGAAATACCTTTAATAATGAGTTATTTGAAAAATTAAAGAACAACGCTATATATATAATTCCAGTGTTACTAGCAGCGTTCTATGTTATGAGGAACATGGGCACTCAGAGTATGTTATTGTTGGCCGCCATTATTGGTGTTTTAATGTACACTCAGCGCTACGTTAATTAAGAAGCTGAACAATGCATATATGTACACACACACACTTATATATATAAGGCAAGTCTTATAAATAAAAAAAAAAAAAAAACTCAGTGCGTAGATATGATGCTCATGTTTTTTTTTTTTTTTTTTTTTTTACCAGAACTCCCTAATTTTTTTTTAAACACTGTGCTATATATTCCGCGTAGTTATGATAGCTGTGCTGATTATATATACACATATTATGTACTTTTATATTTATTTATATTTCTTGTGCTTCTGTATAGACCAATAACTTCGAAAATAAAGAATCTCATATAAGGAACGACATCTATCCGTAGTGTGTCAAAAAAAAAAAAAAATTACCCCTTTGGGTTTATGGCCGTGTTTTTTTTTTTTTTTGTAACAATTATATTTTGTTGTGGGCTAAGAAAGAAAAGGCCCCATTCAAAGAATTGGGATGAACAGAAATAATCTACAACCTACTGCTGCGGTGTGCAAGCACGATTGGAAAGCACTAAAAAAATTGGTTGTGAAAAGAACAATGTTTAGTAATAACATTATTGGTGTAAATTATATGTGAACTAATTTACAAAATTGGCTACAGTTTAACGCAAGGAAGCTACGAATGTGCTATATGTGTGTTTTTTAATTTTGTTAAAGAAATCATGGAACAGTGTTTTCTTTTTATTTTTAATTCATTTTATTTTTGATATGACAATTTAACGATTTCTATTTTTTATCAGCATCTCATCTTTTTGTTCTAATTTTTTTTTTTTTTTTTTTTTTTCGCGTGTTTTTTTGGTAATACAAAAGTTTGGTGCTAATTATTAATTCTTATAAACAATGGGTTGCAAACTGAATGAAAAAATTTGAGATTCTGTGAAATGTAGCATTAGATATATTTTTTTTCATTTAAAGGGGCTAAAAAAAATATGGTTATATATATTTCTGTACAAATATAAAGCAGCATTATTTTACTGGGGTTTTGCAGAATATAACACCATCTAAAATGGGGTAGTTTTATCAAATGAAGATTAAATTAAAAAAAAAAAAAAACATATCGTGTTCATTTAGGACTTAAGAAGAATAGAGCATAAAATGAAGGGGGAAAAAGGAAAACGATATTTTGGTATTCCATGCTTTTTTTCATGAAAATTATTTTATAAAATCATTTGTCCGTTTTTATAATGAAGGGAACAAAGTTGTAGGAGGAAAATGACGTTGAGTTCATCGTATCAGTTTCGTCTCTTTTATCCCTTCAATTTATTGCTCATAATTTTTCTTCCTATGCAAATATTACTTATTAATATATAAGATAAAAAAAAAAAAAAAAATGATTATAAAGTATGTCCAGTTCTATGCTGCCTTTTTCTTAAATGAAGAAGATATAAAAAAAACTCGTAAATGTTATGCATTCGTGCATTTTTTTTTAATCTGCATGTTTCATGTAAGAATTGGTCTTAAAATATGCATCCCCTATTCTTTTGGTTCCTAATTTTTAAATTTTACGCCTTGAAATTTTTTTAAAAAGGACGCGATGGTATTATAATATTCCTCTTCTCTCTGTGATTGGTGCTTTATAGAAGAATATTACATGTAAGAAAATACAGTTTCCAATTTTAAAAATAATAAATTATATTTATTTTTCGCTATGGGTACACTTGAAAATAATTTTTTATATTTTTTAATCGTATATATTTACTGTGATGGTAATTTTTTTTGTTCGTCTTTTTTTGTATGATACTTTTTCATTTTATTTTTTTTTTTTTTATAAGGATTAATTTATTTTTTCTAAATTTTTAGTTTTTTAAATAATTATTTCCTGTAACTGTTTTAAATATATATCAGCGTCATAGAAAGTTATAATTTTCTGGAATTTCAAAGAACAATTTTTGTTTTTAAGCAAAACAAGAATTAAAAAAAGGAACAAAGGCGCGGGATATATTTTTTAAAGCTTTTTCTCCCCTCCTTTTTATAACTTAGCTTTTGCAAGCATATAAATCGAACTATAGAAGTTTTCACTTTAAATAACAGAGAATGGTGAACTCAAAGAATAATAACTCGGGAAAGAAGACTTTTGGCGTTTCTTTTCTTACTAAATTGGCCATATTTTCTGCTTTCATTGGGACCTTAAACACATTTACTACTTCTGTAAGAGAATGACAAAATGAAAAATATACATGCATGATTTGAACATGCATATATGTATGTTTGTGTTAACATTTAGGACGGGACATGGAATGCGTCATGTGGGTTTATGCAGAATGCTTGCCCCCTGTTTCCACTCTACCCGAGCGCTAAGAAAAAATTTACATAGAGAGAAATGTTTATACGTGAGGGTCCGTAGCGCGAAAGTGATTATATGTAACTTTTATTGTGCATGGTTATATGCAATACTTCTATATATGCTCATAACCTTATATGTATAATGCGTTCCTTTTTCTCCCTTTGTATAGAGTAACAATGGTGAATGCTCAAATAACCAACTTGCGGTTGGATCCGTGTCAACCGCAGAATACAGTAGATGCTTAGCGGAGAATGGAGAACCATTAGGATCGTCCTCCCGCAACAAAAAAAGCAAAGATGGGTCAGGAAAAAAAAAAAAAAAAACAGGCAACAAAAAGGGCACTAAAAAAAGCACTAATAAGGGCAACAAAGAAAGTGAATCCTCATTAGAAGACTTACCATGCTGCACTGATATGCCCCCAGAAGTTAGCGAACAAGACATGGAACAATTAGGAAACATGTTTCAGGAATTATCAGAGAAGTTAAATGTACAAGAATATATAGATCAATATAAGGGAGACATGGAAGAATTAGCAAAGAAATTTGAGGAAGGTGATCTGGAAAATATGGACATGGACGCATGTAATAATTTATTTGGAAATTTGACAGAGTCTTTAATAGAGGCATATGCTAAAGATGCAAGTGCTGAGAAGAAAAAGAAAATGAAGGAGAATGCCCAAAAAGCTACCCAGAAGATGCTTAAATACTGTGTGAAAGAGAAGACGAAACACAAAAAAATGAAGGAAAAGGATGAACAGAAGAAAGAAAAGAAAAAAGCAAAGAAAAAGGGAAAGAAAAAGAAAAAGGGCCATAAAAAGGAAAAGGAAGAGTTAAAGGAACAGGAAGAGATAAAGGAACAGGAGGAGGAAAAGGAAGAGGAGCAGGAGGAGGAGGAAAAGGAACAGGAAGAGGAACAAGAAATGGAGAAGGAACAAGAAATGGAGAAAGAACAAGAAATGGAGAAAGAACAAGAAATGGAATATGGACAAGAGTAAGACAAGAAAGAGGAAAAAGAAAAAGGGTGTATAAAAATGAATGACCTCGTTTGCCACTCCCACATTGCTGTATAGGCCAAATATGACATGCGCACTGGATTGTAATTATGCAAGGAAAGCGATGAAGAGGCGAGGAAGAAATGCGTGGGATTGAACCGGTAAGAGGTTCTTTTCAACGTATTATTAATTATGTAAATACTTCAATAAATACATGGCTAGTCGAATTGTAACCTCCTTGTAGCTACTGTCACTGTAATTTTTGCCTCCCTATTTTTAACACTGAGATGATAACTGCGCAATTTTGAGATATCTGCATGCCATAGTAGATAGAGTAAACAACTGCTATATGTGTGACAGGGCAGACATTCGATTTCTGTTCTTTTTAACTTTGCAAAGTGTTTTCATATTCCTGTGTACGTTTTTTATATGTGCATATATATATATATTGAGCTTCCAGTTTTTTTTTTTTTTTTTTTTTTTTCATATATTAGAACCAAGGGTGTCAGACACATGTTTTGCGTATCAACGCATATATATATACATACGTTGTGGTCTGTGAAAAGAATAAAATTTTTCCATTTTTGTTATTTCTTTCGTGTTTGTTAATTAGTGTTCATGCACGTGCATATGCCTACATAGTGATCCCCCAACACGTTTCCCCCGTTTGTGCATATGTGCGTGTATATATATGTATATGTGTCTCATGTTCTTATATACATAAACGCGTGTAATAAAAAAATTAGCAACAAGGTATATATCATTTTATATGATTATAACGAAATGATGAATTAATTTATATCAATTAGATTATGAATGCGAAGAGAATATAAATTTCTCCGCATTTGTGCATTTCGCCAGAAGGTAAATTAAAAACGAAGAGAAGGACATGCAAACGTTATAACGCTGAACATGTGTAGTTTCCCATTGGGTGCAGTATTTAGCTATTACGTCATAGGAACACTGCATCACGTAGGTTACATTGGGAGCCCCCAGTTTTATACATGTAGAAATTAAGCTATATCACAGTTGAGTTTTAAGCGAAAATAGGTCTAGCAGCATTTTCATTGTTGCAATTACGTAGTTTGCACAATGGCAAAAGGGAAGAAAAGAAGTGGGGTGGGGTAAAAGTGATGCACAGGTGCCAATTAATTTTTGTTCCATATGTGGGTATTGTGATATAATGTGCTCTTCATTTGCTTAAATGCACAATGGAGGAAATTGCACACTTTTAAGTTATGAATTGCATGAAAAAATAGGAATAGGCTTTAAAAAAAAAAAAAAAAAGAGATCAATAGACTTATCATATTCTACTCAAATAAATGGTCATTTGTTGATGTAGGTTTGAGGTAAGACAGGAAAAAGTGATACAAAAATTAAGGGAGTTTTGTTTTTTGAAAGGACGTTGCAACCACGGGGTCACGTCTTTGCCCATTTGTATTTGCAAATTATGGAACCGTTTTTAAATATTTACATAATTTGATAAAACTGTTTTCAATTTGGTAAAAATGGCTAAATGTATGATATGGTTAATTTGCCATAAATTTAAAAAAAAAAAAAATAAAAAAAAAAATAACATGGTGCACACATTTTTGTATCGTTAAAGGTAGATATGTGCAGGTTAGCTTAAATTTTAGTGGAAAAGGAAAAATTGTACAAAAGGATTAACCCTTTCCAAATCATGAACACATTTTACGAATTCTGTTATATAATTACAATGTTGCTATGACTAGGTGTAATTATCCAAAGGCTGCACCGATCAGAATATAGTGCATATTTATGGCACTTCCTAAAGACGTGATTGGACGTGAAATACATTTCCATATAATAAATAATACATATAAGAATAAGAAGCAAAGCAGAACTTATGTTAACATGTAAAATGCTTAAGTTGTAATTTTATCTGGAGTTATTAAGGAAGCGTTGATTATGAGGTCTTTGTGGTGACCGTGCATGATTGGTAGTGTGTAATAACTCCTTGTCACTCATGCCGCATACAGTACACTATAAACAGAACGTAATAATTTGGCAGCAGGATGTGCATACAATACATAAGAATGATAATTAATAGGAGCTCACAATTTTCTATTAAAAATTTCATACAGCTAAGGATGATAAATCGTCCCTTCTCTTAGTACATAACCTTTTTACGAGAAAGTGACCTAAAAAGGTAGACATAATAATTTGACCTAAATGTTATAGAGGTTGTATTTTTCCTTATTATGATTATTTAAAAATGAGGTTTATTCGAGTGAACAATTTACATGTCCATATGGTAAATATGTATATATAGATGTGTGATCTGCCCGCACGTTCGCTACTTTTTTGCAAACTGGTTGAAAGGGGCACGAAATCTAATTTGAACAGCCTTTTTTTAAGCCCATGGGACAGCATTAATGATAATAATGATAATAATGATAATAATAATAATAATAATAATAATAGTAACCGTAGCAACAGCAGACATGAATTGAGCAGTAATATTGTAATAGAGATAGAAAAGTGCCTACATATGTAAGTGCCCATCTTGTTCGCACTGTAACACGCTAACGGGCGCAATACTTCAGCGGCAAGAAAACAATTAATGAATAAAAGTAATAACAGCAATAGCGTAGTGATTAATGTATCATTAATTAACACGTCCACGTTAGAAAGGGCACTTAGTAATAGGGGCACCAGAAAACTAGGCACAAACACATACGTACAAGTAGGAGGTGTGGGAAGTTGTAAAATTGTGTACATCGGGAAGGTTGTTTCTGTATGGAATTTCATTCATAATGAGGATTGTGCTAATTTTGGAAAACAGATTCTTATAATGCTATAGCGTTAAAGGTATTGGTTAAAGAGGAAAAAAATTATTGCAGTGGCGTCAGGCCAGAACATTCTACCAATTCACTTGATACGGTCAATTTTTTAAGAAATGTATTATAGTAAAATGAGCGAAGGTAGTATTCCAATGAAAGTGTTCATTTAATTTGGCTTAACTAGACAAGGTAGTCATACATTTCGACAACTTCAGATCAGAATTGTATTAAACCTTTTAGCAGATTAAGCAAGAAGATGAAGTTTGTCATGATTTCTACGTTTACAATTTGTTTACATAAAACAAACGTAAACATAGTAGATTCGTTAAAGAATGCGATCCGAGCAACAGTTCTATGGACTACACATATTCGTTGCATACATATAAGGTACATTTTAAAAATATATCCTTTTATATTTGTTCGTGATGATTTCTTACAATGTGCTATTTCACAAAGAAAGCCTTTTTTTTTTTTTTTTTTTTTTTTTTCCACATCGTGATATTGTTTCATTTTTGCAAGGGTGTATCATCAAATGGGAACGTAAGTAATGTTTATTTTTTTTTTTTTTTTTATGGTATTGTGTTCCTCACTAAATATTGGAACGCAATTTATGTGTCGTTTTAGGCCAAATAATGTGCATGTATATGTGTACGCATTTGAGGGCGCTGTGCTTTTTTGGGGAATACGCAGCAAACATTTCAAAATAGTATGTTATCACGCTAAATTACGTACTGGGCAGGGGGACCAATTTAAGACCGTAAACGAGGTTACCTGTGTGTATAGAAAACTGTCGAGTCGCTTACAGTATAAAGGGAATAGATATATGTAAAAACGATGTACGAAATTGGTCTTCGTGAATTTTATAATAAAGGGCGCGGGGAAATGACTTTCACAGGTACGCAGGTGGACGTTTTAAGTGTTATGCTGTATGCATGATATGCTTTTACATATAATAGGCTATAAAATAATTGTTTCTTGGGCTTCATTCGCCGTGGCCCGAAAATAATGGCAAAACATGATAATGCCAAGGAGGGGGACATATCGCAAGGTAAAACGTATCCAAAGGGAAACAGTGTAAAAACTGAGCAATTCGAGGATGTACGTGAAAATAGTACTTAAATTATTTCTTTTAATTAATGAATATAAATTTCCTTGATCCGATAATATAACACGCACGTAAACAGTTTTTTTTTTTTTTGTAAAAAAAAAAAAAAATAAAATAAAATAAAAAATAATATGTAACAAAAATAATGTGCTGCTCGTCCGTTGATTATTAAAATATTTAGCATTTATGTTTCGAATAATGGGCATGAGTAGTACACACCAGGCTTTTCCTTTTTGCCAATTGCCTCCGATTTGTTTCGTTGGAAAAAGAGTAAGAGCTAATGTTATATTCCAGGGGGTACATGCATAGGAAAATAATTCAGGGAATTCAGCAAATTTAGCGAATTAAGCAAACTAAGCAAACTAAATAAAGAATAAATGTGGCAACAGTAGCACGTGTACACAGAAGGAAATTCGCAAGAGTGCATGGTCAACTTATAATTACGTATTTTTTGAAACAATTTACACAATTTTAAAGCTTATGAACATGTTATAATTTGTAAGTATTGATTATATATTCCTATTATACATATAGAGCTGGTATTAAATCGTGTATTTAGGGCACTTTTGTGTCCATAAGTGGAGCGTTTATGCGTATACCTCCCGAGTCCTTAAGATGAATGCTTTTTTTTACTTATAATTATGCGTATATATTTCTGTAATTAACGAAGTTGTACATTTATTTAATTCGATAGTGTTACATACGTGCTCTATTGTGTGGCAGTGTTTACCCTACGTGTGCCCCCAACGGGTAATTAACAGTTAGCAGCCTAATAGTTATGAGTTATTAGTTACTACTTATATTTACTAGTAAGCGGTGACCAGACAAAGTACCGCAGAAAGTTTGTTTGAAATTGTTCATCTTTTTTTTTTTTTTTTTTTTTTGCTATATAGGGCAAATCCCTTTGACTTTATGCGGTGTCCTATTTACCAGGCCAGCACACATTACCAATGCAACAGCTACGTTACATTGTGTCGTTTTGTATACATGCAAAATGAGTATGCGCTATGTACATTCTGCAGTACGCCATTATACATGTTTAAGAGGCTTATGTGTTTATAGGGTGATTAGAAATTATAGTTATAAAATTGGTTAGAATATATATACATTTATATTTATGTACATATATTTTTATAAATAAGTAGGGGGGTCTTCCCTCCTGTTGTACTCATGAAGCTTTGCATTTTTTTGTACGAAAAATACGTTGAAAAACGCAGATTTTTCTCGTTATAAATTATGGTACAACATGTTACAAGTATATATATAAATATGTATATATATACAACACGCAGTGCTGGTGCTTTCTGTTTAAATAGAAACATTCGCCTGCTGAAGTTACTATGCCCATGTTGATTACTCAAGGACAGGTACGTAGTTTTGTGCGTGTTATATATATATGTATATATATTTGTAGGAGTTTTTTTTTTACGTTTTAAAATAATATGGTTGAAAATTTTGTTTTTTTAACATTGTTTATAAAAGTGGTGCAATACCATCATGTATACAATTAATTTAATTACATTTAGTACTTTTAAAAAGTTGAAAAGGCACGAATTTGTATGGAATAACATATATATATTTATATATATAATACATATATATATATATATATATATGTATAATATATAGCAGAATTTAAGTGCGGAACCGTTGTAGAAAAAGAACGACTCGGGATGATTTAGAAAAAGAGAAATATTCGAGTACCAATATAGTAGGGGGTTATAAGTCGTAAAGGCAAGCTGTAGCGTTGCATTTTTGAGGAATTCAATATGGGTAGCAGTTATAGAGAAATAGATTTTTTAGTGCTTGTTTTTAATATTAAGGATAGAGATTTTGCCTATCAAATTGAAGAACACCGTTGTCGTATAAAAGTATATTGCATATATATATGTATAATTTATATATATAAAAAAACATGTATAAATGCAATATATAAATACCACACATATTATATATATGTATATGTTACCAACACGCATGATTCTAGTAACCAAGTTTATCCATTCTACAATTTTTTTTTTTTTTTATTTATAAAAAAATGTGACAACTTTTTACCCAAGGTTTGCAATTTTTTATTTACATGTAAAATTGAAAATGATGATTATATTAATGATTAATGGCGCGATTTAAACTCTACAAGCGGAATTTTGCCCATATTTGTACATATTTTAGTTTTTATTTAAAAGCAAAAATCGAGTGACTTTTCTCTTAAACGTAAAAGGAACCATCCCCTCTCCTTCCTTTTCTGTTAGCCAAAAGATAACCATTTTTACCAGCAGGTTGTTTTTAATACAACGGGTGAAAGTATAGTACTTATAGATCTGCACTTACTTTTTTATTATATATGTTTAATTTATACGAATTATACGAAATTACGTAGGCGATAGTGTCTTCGAAACCGAACATGTACACTAACGTCGCGAGTTTTGTACATTTTTATCTATGCAATATATTTACAACTTCCTTGATTTAATAATGAACCTTGTGATTTTTTTTCCATAACTGTATATACGTGCAATTGATTGAATAATTTTTAACTTATAATTCTTTGTGCCATATTTACTATTTACCTTTGTGGTGTATAAAAAATATTAAGTGGCTTTTTTATATAGTCGAGCAGAGCAGTTGTGTGATAATATTACTAGCTTTCATTGTATTATGGATTATTTCGTAATGGGCATTACGTTGTAATGTTTTGTTTCACAAGTGATTAAAAGTGATTATAAGTGAAACAAAAGTGATTTTTATAATTGATTATTTGTGTAAGTTTAAACAGCAATTTTTAATACCCACGTGGAGTGTGTTTTTAGGAGGTTGCAATTTTTCATTTATAAGAAATAAGCAGTTAATGCGCCGCAAATGTTATTAGTTTAAATATAATTTATTACACGTCCAAATTACAGGAACCTTCATAAATGAAAGAAGTAAGTCCTCTTTTTTTTTTTTTTTGCACACTGTTGTTGTTGCACGCGTTTTTGTGATGATGGCCATTATCCGTACTCACTGGAATTATTCATTTATCATTTTGTTAATTGTCCCTTGTTTTCATTTTGCCTACTCAAGGGAATGTTCCTTTGGCCATCACATCTAAGTTGATGTTTTTAGGCGAAGCATGTGAATTGTATCCATGGGTTGCTATGTATGTTGCCATTGTGATTCCATTTTTGTCTGACCCTGTTTGTTGTTGTTTCCACAGGATCCGAGATACAAAGATTTACCTTCCCAAGTATATTACGCTAAATTGAATGAAGATATAGTCGAGGAGGAAGATGACGGGAATGAAGAACATGTGGAAAATGAGGAATATGAAGTAAATGAAGAACAGGAAGTAAATGAAGAAGAGGAAGTAATTGAAGAGCAGGAAGTAAATGAAGAAGAGGAAGTAATTGAAGAGCAGGAAGTAAATGAAGTGCAGGAAGTAAATGAAGAGCAGGAAGTAAATGAAGAGCAGGAAGTAAATGAAGTGCAGGAAGTAAATAAAGTGGAACAAGTAAATAAAGAACATGGAGTAAATGGACAAAGTAAGGGAATTGAAGAAAATGTTTACTGGAAAGCTGTACAAGGATCATATGAAGAAACACCATGGGTTCGAGATGTTTTTTTTAAACTGGAAAGGAACCTAACTCAGTTAAATGAAGGTCGTGAGGAAGATAGTCTAAGTAAGAAGCATTGTTATGATTTAAATTACTGGCTATACGAACAAGTGTATGAAAATCTTAATAAGAATGAGAATGATGAAAATTTCTTTAAAATAATTGATGGTCTTCAAGGTGCATGGAAGAATATAAATAATGATAAGTTCCCTAATGCTGATAATATATGTCATCCCGATACAACCCTGGTTGATATGAAATATTTAAAAGATGTTAAATATTTGTTCGATTTGGTTGAAGATTATTCTACCATCAAAGCAGCAGCTATCAATGATACAAAGAACGCGTGTCAGAAATATATTGACTACCTTAAAGTTAAGGTTCCTTTGTACTATGAATGGAAGGACGTGTGTACCATGGAAGAGGAGAATATATGTACAAAGTATATTGATGATTTTTCACAATATAATCCCAAAAGCGTATTGGAAAATTTATCTGTAGTTAGTCTTGCATTGGCATCCATATTCAATGATTGCTATCAGAATATTATAAATTTGTTTACCGAATCAGAGAAGATCGAGCCACGCACTGTTTTGAAGCATAGAGACATTACAGGACAATCCGAAAGTAACATTGTAAAAGTAGGAGGAAGAGTTTTGTCGGAAGCTATCCTTGATATCCCCGAATCTGGAAATGCGTTAGTTGGCATTAATGCGCTGGCTACTTCGTTTTTTTCCATGTTTAAGAGATTTAACTCTTACATATATAGCATGTTTGCACCGGTTGGCCTTTCCCTGTTGAGCATAGTGTTATTTATGTACGTCGTCTATAAGGTAAGTAGACCGGATGAGTCAATGGTTGGAACGCGTGAATGGATATATAAATGTGTGCATTTTTTTTTTTTTTTTCTGTGCAAGGATATCCGCATTTTTGTGAAAAATATGTATCTACAAAGTACAATAACCGGGCATGATGATTTTATACCTCATCCCCATTGTTTTCTTTTTCTTTAGTTTACCCCAATTGGAAAGACGATTTATCTCAATCAAAAAGGAATGAAGAATCACTATGTTCGCAAGAACAGTGATGATTCTGATGATGAAGATGATGATGATGATGACGATGATGATAACGACAGTGCCAACATTAGCCACAAGAATAAGAAGAACAACAGGGGCAACAACAGGGACAACAATAGGGACAACAATAGGGACAACAATAAGGACAACAATAGTAGCAACGTGGAATGAAGTTCTAACAGAGAATCGTTAAATATCCATTCATAAGTGAACATGTATATGCTAAGGTCCAATGACGCTTTCTAACATGAAGTATAATAAATTGGGAGTAAAACGAGTGTTGGCTAGGGCTATGAGAGCAAGACCGCAGGAATGCTTCACGCAGGGAATTAAAAAAGATATATGAACAAATAACGAAATGCCAAAAGTGGACAGAACACAGAAGGGTGTTGGGTATTTGTGCATATTATATGTATAGAACACACGTATGCATACGCATGTCAGATTAAGATTACTATAATAATGTTGAAAAGAGTGGTGACAAATGGCTCATTGATGGTGATATGAATATATAACGTATGCTTTGATAGAGAACATGTGCGTTTTGTGAATAGGGTGGTTAGTCGGAGAATTCTCCACATGACTGGAAAGTAACAATAGGGGATACCTATAAAATGGGCGCAGAAGAGAAGCGACACGTGACATCAAATTAGGATGGGATGCACATTTGCCTCACAAATAGATAATGTGGTGTTAGTGTAAGAGAAAGGAATATCCTTTGTAGGTGAACAAAAAAAAAATGACTGCCCATGTGAGTCCATAGTGTTGCCTTGAGTCAGTGTCTCCCACGGCCTGTTTGTGTCGAACTCACCGAATTGACAAATTGTTCCTTTTTCATACAAGGAGCAATGTTAATATTTTGGGGTACAGGGGATGAGTTCCCTATGGTTAGAACTAATGCTACCTAGTCCTTGTTATCTCTCATAATTGAATGTGGACGAACGTAATAGTGGGGGCAAAGCATATTGCGTATATGGTTCTGCTGCGTGTAGTTATCGTTGGTCATGTATAATTTACGACCCGTTTTGTCACATTTGATGCTGGGGTTGTGATAAGCTTATGGTACAGTTAGCACTAGTGCAAGGGTAGAAGAGTGAATTTGTAAGAAGTTACAGAATGGTCTAAGAGTAGGGAGAAGGCGCGAGTATACTACACAAGGTTCTTTAGAATGCCTAATGATAAAGCAGATAGAATTAGGCGCGCAACTTTTGAGGGTAGCGGTGGAGCATTAATCGTAATGCATCTTTTTTGTGTTATTGGCGGTCCTATTATAAGGAGGGGCTATAGAGCAGATGTTATAAGTCGTACACACATTAAGAAGTTTGGATTGTGTAGTTATACAATTTTGTGCTCACGTGATGATGGCACAGTGACACATACACAATTTAGACCTACCATACATGTCATATGTACGGAGGTAGAAGAAATATGTAGTAATAGTTACGGTTTTTATACACAATTTCCTTGCTACGATGTTGATGCTTTATACATTAATAAGTATAAAAATTACTACAGGAAGAATGGGACACAAAAGAGAGAATGTTTTTTTTTCGTTGTTAATATTTTATAAGTTAGCTTTATACTTTAGTAAATCTTCAATTTAGCACTTGGTGTGAAGATATAATACTACATTTTGATTAATTGAAAAGAGGGAAAAAGGTGAAGTGGAACAATCACATGCTAGAATGTTTTTATCATATTTAGCACATATGAAATAGCTTTTACTTATTAGAAATGTTACAGAAAAGAGGAATGCAATTTTACAAGAAGAATTACCATTCGTAAGTTTACCGTTACAAATAATGTAATAAAAATATTAATTTAAGTATTCGTGGATAACATTAACAATTTTAACAATATTTTACTAGAACGAGTTAGCTTATAACAATCCGCAAGTGTTGCGTCCAAGGCGATCTCTTAAACACTTCATGTTCTTTTTCTGTAAATCTTTCACAAAGCAGAAGACATAGCAGTAGAGAATATAGCATACACATATATATGTAATATACATAACATCATAGTAGAAAGAATAGGAGGAAAAGCATGTAATTGGAGCAAACTGCAAGTGCTAGGAAAATTGTTGTAGACCTATTTTTTAAGACTAAATGATATTGATAATTTATTAACACGGACAATCCATTAATGGAGGGGATGCTTTTGAAGGATGTTTCACATTTAAGGGAAAGTTATGGAATGTGTTTTTGAATTCTAACAGACGAGTACTATTTTTTTAAATAGTATATATTTTTTATAGCTTATTATATATGTGTACATAATGCATGAACGATTTTTATGTTTTCATATTTTTTATATTTATATGTTCTTTCTTTTTTTCAATTTTTTTTTTTTTTATTTTTTTTGGTATACTTTGCTTAATTTATTCCTTACTGTTTGGAACATTATGTTTTTTAATTAAGAAAATTTTATAAATTTTCCGTTTTAAACTTTATTTCTTCCATTTAATTAAAAAATTTAGAATAAATTATACGAATTAAGTCATCGTAGTAAGTAGATTCAATAGTAGAAATGTAGCGTGTGGAATATGTTTACTTGCGTTACTTCTTTTATATATAAGACCCACTGAATTACATAAATTAGGGGTGTTAAAATATGTACACTATGTACAAACGATGCTGTGTTCACCGGAATTTCATGCAGTAAGTAGAAAAGTGAGCAGCTTCTGTCAGAACTAAAAAAATGTAATAAATATGCGTATGAAACAAAATGAATAATAGGACGCATCATCGGTTATTATATTAAAATTGCTAAAAAATTGATAATTCACTTTTTATATATTTGTTGTTTTATTGTGCGTTCTCTTTCATGCTGTAATACATGTGGATACCCTTGCGTAGGTTGACGCCATTCCGATTACATGTTAAATATATACGCATTATTTTATCCAAGGGAAGCGGAAACATGTTGTTTATAGTAGAATGATTTTATTCTTATGATTTATTGGTAAGCAGATGTTGTTGTAGGAACAAGTTGATATGGACTTAGGAATTTGTATAAAATTATAATCAAAAATTTAGGACCATATTTTGTTAAGTATCTTTGAAAAGTATATACATTACATTATGTTCTTGCATTTGCAGTGACTAAAACGTTAAAATTTTGTGCGAATAATAGTATATACATAACTGTACAAAGCAATAACTAATCCTTTCAGTGTTAGTGGTTGGAATATGTTACCACATTTGTTCTAGAGGAAAGTTCTTTTTAAAGTGTTGCGTTTTTTTGTTTTTTATTGTTATTGCTGGTTGTTGTTATGTTATAACCAAAGTCGCATTAAAAATCGGATAAACCTACTGCGGGATGTAGAATTATTTTGAACGCGGTAATAATAATTAAAAAAAAGGGCGCGCAAAATACAGTTGCAGGGAAGTTTACTCTAATTTTAATACAAAAACAACAACAAGTAATGGTGCCCTTTACGCCTTTTTTTTTTTTGTCACTCTCAGTTCTAAATAATATTTGTAGGCGTTAATCATGATGTTATTTTATGTTATGTTTTTTTGCTTATATATTTGGTAATATTATTTTATTGCTGAAAAAAATGTCTTAGGGATGCAGCAACGAGAAAAACAAATTAAGTGATACATTTTGAAGGGCTTTGGTTGGAAGACTTTGCATATGTCGAATTGTTCTATCATACGTTTTAATTTAATATTTCTTTCTTAATTTTTTTTTACATATGTAAATTTATGTTAAAATATTTTAGTAATTGTTTTTGTAGTCTGGCTGTTCTGTAGCTTGCATTTTTTTTTTCGTTATTATATACCTTTATATGCCATTTAATTCGTTTGAGAGAAAAGTATAGAAGAATGAAACATTAAAAGTTGTTAGGGTATACTAATTGTACTTTTATGCGTTTCATCATATATACTACTTATAACGCTCATTCAGAATTCAACATTATAGAAAAATTTGGGCAGCCTTTAACAATGAGCACCATAAAAGATAATAACGTAAGGTCTAGCACTTTCGTTAAAATTGCCACCATTGTCCTTCTAGCATATACAAATCAAACTTGGAATCATTCGGTATATAGGAAAATGACAATAATGACATGAGTGATAAAAATATGGACGTGAAGATTTCATGTTTTTTTTTTTTTTTTTTTTTTTTTTTTTTTTTTTTTTTTTTTTTTTTTTTTTTTTTTTTTTTTTTTTTTTTTTTTTTTTTTTTTTGCTTCTCCTTCTCGAATCCACCTTTATACTTTTATTTTTCGGTCGTTACATTAACGTAGGAGTAAATTGGTGTATTATATATCTTTGTAACTAATAAAAATTGACTTTGCCACTTATTTCGTGCTACCCTCCTTTTTTTTAGGACAAATTTGGAGCATCGTTGATTAAGTATACGAGTGGAAATGGCGAATGTGATTTAAGAACTCAGCGATTATTAGGAGGAAGTGGATCGGGACAAGAATACTTTGTGGCAAATCCACTTGATAATGGTGAATTGTACCATTATGATTCTGATCACAGGTCAAAGTATAATATAAGAGGTGAACACCACAGTCACCACGGTAGTAATGTATATAAACATGGAAACAGTAATAAACATCACACATCACGAAGTAAAAGAGAAGAGAACAATAATGAAGATAGTGAAGTACTCAGCTTATCCCAGTTTTATGTAGATGATAATGATTGTAAGGACAATGGTGAAACAAGTTCATCACGATGTGAATCCGATGATTATGATGATGTAATAGATGTTACGAAAGCAAGGACATCTAATTCAAAACACAGAATATCATCCATGGATGTCGAGTTACATCCGGGACATGAGGATGGATGTATTTCTGAAGGAAGAAAAGGATCTGATGGTGAGGTTAAGGAAGCTGACAGTTATGATGAACATGGAAGTTGTGATGCCTTAGATGTTTTAGACACATATGAGCCATATTATGTGGAAGAAGGAGGAATTAGGAAGCGCGCTGGTCATAAGAAAACCAAAAAGGTACTTACTTATGTTGGTGCAGTTGTAGTATCTCACCAACTAATAGCTTTCTGTTTAGCCACGTCTTCTATTATTGCAATACCCTTCACAGCTGCTGCGTGTTTCTTGGGCAGATTTTTCTACAATAAACATAAAGAACAAAAAAAATATGAGAGACCTTACTTGAAGTGCATAATGTACTAATCTCTTTTTGAAGGGAACAATATCTTTCAAATTGTTAACTTTTAAGCTATATATTTACCATATAGAGTATGCGAAATGGTAAAGGATATAGGCATTTACCCCCTTACCCTACTGACGCTGAATAAAACTCAATGTTCACCATGTGGAGCATAGAACATATATCTGTGTATTTGGAACTATCATGATGCAGAATATTGGCAGAAGTATCTGTTTTTATTTTTCGTTATTTGTTTTTCTCTATTTAACATTTTTTTTTCGAGTTATATTTAAAGATTTGCAGTAACACGCTATGTGTGAACATTGATTTTTTTGTTTTGCACAAATGTATGATTTTATGTTGTGCGAAATTGTCTCACCTGCAATTTTGATTATACACAGGCTTTCGGGCATACATATATAATATGCGTATGTATGTGCATATATATGAGTATATGTGTGGTCGTTTTGCGAAGAAACCGCGCTTGAGCATTACTCGTAACACACGAATTGCCGTGGTTGGGAGTATATTGAATATTTTTTAATATTCCAAACGATAGCATATTATTTAAAGTATATTAATGGAGTTTTCCTCATCAAATAACAACCTATGGGCAAAACTTTCAAATGGTATAAAATGTGTATATACAAAATAATACATTTAATTGTCACATGAATTGTTTTATGTAATGTTTCCATAAGTTCCCTCAAAAACAGGGAAAGGCACATAACGGACATGTAAGAGTAGTTCCTTATTTTTATTGCTATACATGTAGTATATGTGGTTATGTGATTTCTCTTCATCTACATGTGAGAAACCATGCAATTTTGTTTGTTATATGATCATTTCTTTTTGTTCTTTTTTTTTTTTTTTTTTGTGATAATAACAGACATGCTCTAATATATCTTGAAAAGAGAAATCTATAACCACTAAACAACAGGAAGTGGTAAGACTACCTGAATACACTAATAAAGTAGACATTCGAGGGACGCCTGTGACATGTGTCATGACGACATGCGTTGTAGCAGCATTCGTTGGGACAACGCGAACACCCGCTATGTCAACATATGATATGACAAGCGCCAACTCCAGTTAGGGCATCAGATGTCACAATAACAGCAGCTTCTCATCTTTCTCCTTTTCAAATATTCTGTAATAAATTATCCACATATAATTCTTTACCATGGATGTGAACACCCAGGTTACATTCTTCTATAATCAAGGCTAGTATAAGCACCCATAATTTGACTGCTACCTGTTTCCTCCTATAGGGTTCCTCGTGCAGTTATTGCCCACGTAAATGTTCCACTTTCGGTACTTACTCTGCTTTCTCCTGTTCCATATTTTACAATACATACTTAAACCAATCTTGTTCTTTATACATATTTATTAGGTTATGTTGTTCTGCGACCCATTTTTTCCACAACCGCAGTTTCTTCAATTGCACGGATTATAGGCAGATATATATAAGTGTATTTCGGATACGCCTTATACCCATATATGTGTATGCAAACAAGATTCAACATTAATGGACATGACTCCTTTGGTCGGAATGTAAGTATATCTCTGGTCCCTCTCTGTTTTCTTCTTTGGGGACACATTGAGCTTTCTAAACAGCAGAGACACCCAAAAAATACCTCTAAAGCATGTTTGAAATATTTTGAATACCTTGAATGTGCTTCCAGGGGAGCGGCATTGTACTACACAAGGGAAAGTTATTGGCGCGTCTGGGGCGAGAACGATGAGTTCTTGCACAGTACAATACGGATAATTGTAGTTGCTGTGTAGCGTCCTGTATTCACGACAAATATTGCATATGTTAGTATATGTATGTGCGTACATTTTTTCGCGTCATCCCGGGATAGTACCCGTTCTAATATACATACATATATATGTATGTATGTGTGACATGTTATGGTACGGACAGACACAGTGTTCTGTGTTATGGTATACACTACGGAAAGAATCAAATATGCTCCTTGTGTTGTCCAATCTTGCGCAAGGGATGTCTTTTTTTTGTTGTATTGCACATTGTAAATTATATGCAGTTACCAATCTGGACCCTGTAGGCTACTGCTGCAACCAATGCAGTAATTCAATGCTGCCTGACCCCTAGCTCCAAAAGATTCGTCACCCATTGTGCTTCATCAATAACTGTTCTCCTTTTACCATGCTCGGGTGCACATAGCTGGTGGGCCGGTATGGAAGCATTCCGTATTGACCCGCACTATTCCATTTTCCCCCCTTGTCCGCGGTAATTCTTCGATCATTTGAGGTGCAGCAGGCCCATACAGGAAACTGTCCCCCTTTTTACATTGGAAAAAGTGCCGCTTCACAGCTTTCCCCCTTAGCACATATAATACTATTCCATCGAGAAAACCATTCTCCTAAAACTTAATTCAGTCATATGCGCATACTCTAATTTCATCATCGTGCCTTTATGATTTCTGGCATACAGTTGTACGTACTTCCCAGAGTCATTCGTTTTACACATCGCGCGTGTAATTCATTTTGTTTTAAAGAAAAAAAGGAAAAGAGAAAGAGCATAAGACCAGAGTTTGACGTAACACAGAAACAACTTAAAGTTCGAAAAAAAATAAAATAAATATGCGTACAAATGAAATAAAAAAAATAATAAAATAACGTAAAAGAAAAAAAGTAATGCCCCCCACACAAAAGTACACGCACAACTTTCCAGGGTAAACTGTTGCCGCGGCCCCGAGAAAAACAAAATTTTACATGTTCAGACGTGCTAGCACGTATGTTGACGCATTCTGCACATTAGCCAGTGCGCTTGTACGCTCACGCATAAAATGTACCATGCGAAAAGTACACATAACCGGTTTTTATGAGCGGCAACACTTTTGCGTCACCGCGCGGAACATATATATGGGCCCCTATATTGTGTTACCCCCCCTTAAAGTAATTATACGGAAAGAATAATTCTTCCTGTATTCAATTTGTTCGTAACATTTCCACGGTCTTATTCTTATAATTATGCATCCTCAATGTGCGAACACAATGACGCGTCAATTGTGATGTGTGTACGAACATACAACTGCCTCCTGATCATTGTAAAGTTTTGCGCATCGGTAGCATATAAATTTCATTAAAACAAGAAATATAAAATTGGTTACTCAGTATGGGCTTCAGGAATTTTGGCGTGGGAAATTTATTGCGTCCTATTATTGGTGTACAGGCCCCCTGTTCTTTTCTGTTTTTAATATGCAATTATAATCCTTCACCCCCAACATGCGTACTCTATTCGTTCCGTCACGTGGCAACCTGTCCACATAGAGTGAAGCATAACATCCCCAACCAGCGTCATAGCTGGCAGGATTCATGCTTCGACGTTTCCAGTGCACAAATATCATATTTACTCTTACACACGTAGGAGTTCAAACTATATGAGAAAACATGTACAGATATAAGCATATATATATATAATTACGTGTACGCAGAAGGACTGTCATGCGGTCACATTTATAAATATAAAGTATTGTACATATGTTCCTCATCTGCTTCCCTGAAAAATATGTAAGGAGCGCAGGTTTTACACAAGATGCTACTCATTATGCATTTGCGACGGTATTGATGATGTGACCGGTGTTGCAATAGCGGATGATGATGTTGCATCAGTGAATGGCTGTATTATCGTTCAAATAATTGCCGTACGGAGCATAGTTATGAAGCAGAGACCAGAATTGTTGAAGTAAAAAAAGAAAAAGGACAAGAACTTTTTACACATTATAAAAGTACTTAGTACACAGTGTATCTAGTATAATCGTAGTATAGTACATGTTACATATATGATGTGGCACATTATGAGTTATGGATATGAGAATATATATGCGTACATATATATATATATATATATTTATGTAGGAAACTAAGGGACATATTCCGCTCAAAGCGTGTTCCCTGCGCATAATATCAATAAACAACTAATTACAGAAACAAGCCGCATTACATATATGCGCAAAGCATGTGTATTGGAATGACATACACAAAATTATAATTTAAGACGGAACTACAAGATAAATGCTGTAAATATGAGTAAACAACATCATACAAACTCTACGGAATATTATACAAAATGTCTATGAAGTAGATATATAGAAGCATACTGTAACAATGAAGCTACGTACCAGAAGTAGAATGCAGGACGTTACTTATGGTTTTTTAGGTAATTTCTGTGACCACGGTAGTTTCAGTTTCCTCGGTGCTTCCGGTTTCTTTGGCACTTCTGGTTTCTTATGTTCTTCCATTTTTCCCGATACTTCCGGTTTATTAGGTGCATCTAATTTCCCAGATGCTTCCTGCTTCTCAGGTGCTTCCGGTTTCTTGGATACATCTGGTTTCTGATCTTCCTTTGCTGAAATTGTATCCTTCAGGGCTTTTTTCGGCAAGTGCGATCGGCCTTTGCGGAGGTAGAAACGAATTAACATGATCACGAGCATGAGTCCTATGCTCCCCGTGACTCCAAGGACCGATGGCAAAATCATCTCTCCAGCATTGTTAGTCGGGTTAAAACACAATGCTGCTATATAGAAACCAAGGACGATCAATGTAGCGGGGATCCACACTTTATTTCTACGTAAAGTTCGCGCTAGTGTACTACAAAAGTCCCGTAGCTTGCTCGCACGTTTGTTTAATTTGTGCTCCATTCTGTGATGCCACTTGTAACCCGTTTGATCCATCTTTGGGCTTCGATTTTCCGGAATCTGTGCCCGGCGCAGGTTCTTTAAGGGAACCTCCACTAGGAGTTGCGGGTGCTTTATTTTGCTCTGGTGTTTGTTTATTCGTTCCACTCTTCATCGCATTACCTTTAGGATCCTTTTGATTCTTTTCACTTTGTGCCTTATTTTGTAGGGATGGTGGCAACGACCCTCCTGATCCAACCTTAGAATCTGATTTCACAGACTTTGCCCCCGACCAGGTTCCTTTAATGGGACTTACACTGTGACTGACAGGGAATTTATTTTTTCTGTATTCTGTGTATCGGTTTTACTGTTCACTGCAGTTCCTTTGAGTTTTTTTTTAGTGTTTTCAACTTGTGTCGCATTATGTGAGGACCATAATAATGTGTCTGCTCCAACTTTGGAATCAAAATTCCCCCTGGGCTGATACGGTGCAACAGGAACCTTGAAACCTGGAATCCTCATGCCTATTTTACGGGGGTCATTCTGGACGTATATGACTTCTAAGTAAATGGGTTCTTCCATAAGGGCTATACATTCGTCTGCTGTGTTAGTGGTGACTTCTTTCCATGATTGTCTGAAATCATATAAAATCTTCTCAAATTCATGTTTGCTCAATTTTTCCTTTGCAAGCATGGTACGAAATACACTATTAACATGTTCGTTTTGTTCTGTCAAATTATTACTAACTATCTGTTCACATTTATTCCATTTCTTGTTATATATTTCGAGAGTTGCAATAGTTTGTTTTTTTTGCAATTCTAAAAATTTTTCTTGCAAAGATTTTTTAAGTGCAAGATATTTACTTCTTTCATTTCTGTATGATTGCCAGTATAAAGAAAGTAATTCCCATTTATGATGTTCTTCTTCAAGTTCTTCTAATATTTTATTTATTTCAGAATCTGTCAATCTTTCATCGAAACAGGACATTTCGTACTGGAATGCAATCGATCTATCTGTTCCATATATTACACTATCTTCTGTTACATTGTCTTCATATTTCTCCATTGTATTTCCTGCCTGTTTCTGTTTTTTCTCCATTTGTTGTTGTTCTTTATCATAATACTTAATTTCCTCATATGCTTGTAGGAGTGTGAAGATATATTTAGGTATAGAATCAGCTGGGACATATTGTCTTTTCATCGCTACGAGGCCATATGATTCCTGAGTTGTTTCTGGTCAAGGAACTTTTGTTTCTCCCGTAAAAGATTCTGTTTTGTACTCAGCATCTTGTTCCATAGCCTGAACGACTGATTCTGTCGACTCAGTGATTGATGCTGCGGCAGATAATGTGTCTGATTCATCGACTTCTTCTTTCCTTGCATCATGTTTTATGTTCCATTCTCCATCATAATGTACTTCTTGTGGTACCGCTTGCTGCTCTGGTTTCCATTGTCCTAGAATAGCTTCTTCTTCCTGCTCTTCATAATCATCCTCTTCTCCTGCTTCCTCCCACTGTTCGTCAGAATATACTCCTTCGTCAGCATCTTCATAGGTTTCTTCATAAGGTTCTTCGACATCTTCGTAGGTTTCTTCATAAGGTTCTTCGACATCTTCGTAGGCTCCTTCATATGTTTGTTCAATATCTTCGTAGGTTTCTTCATAAGGTTCTTCGACATCGTCGTAGGCTCCTTCATATGTTTGTTCAAT